ACTGACTATAGGACATTAAATACATGTACTATATATTGTAGCGCTGTACAATGGGTGGACTAACAGACACGTAATTGTAACCAGACAAACGCACAGGAACAGAGGGGTTGAGGGCTCTGCTCAATGAGCTTTCATGCTAGAGGGAGTGGGTATAGTGACACAAAGGGTAAAAGTACGGGTAATGAATTGCTAGAAAATTAGTGGAGGCTGGGTGAAAGTCAGAGAAGGGAAGGGAGTTCCACAGAAGAGGTGCAGCCCTGGAGAAGTCTTGGAGGCAAGCATCAGATGTGGGAGGATAGATGTAGGGGCCTCGACGTATTAGGGTGGATAGGTAGGTTGGAGCAGCATTCTGTAGGGACTTGTAAGCAAGCACCAGAATCTTAAATTGAGCCCTATATCTGCCCGTAAGCCAATATAGGGACTGACAGAGGGGAGAGGTGCGGGCAGACAGGAAAATGAGCCTCGCCGCCGCGTTCATAATAGATTGCAGCGGTGTAATCTGGGAACACGTAAGACCACTGAGAAGGGGATTGCAGTAGTCAAGACTAGAGAGAACAGCACGGACCACCACCTTAGCCGCGTCTGGTATTTAAACAGGGGCAGATGTGAGCTATGTTTTTGAAATGGAAGCGGCAGGATTTGGCGGTTGACTGGACCTGAGGGGTGAAGGAGAAGTCGGTGTCAGACAACTAGGCAGCAAGCCTGAGAGGTAGAGGGGATGGTGGTGCCGTTGACTTGGAGGGAGACCGATACGGGAGTTGCAAGACCAGAAGTTAAACCATTAACAGATTTATTTAACCAATCATTAACAGGAGTAGTCCCAGAAGATTGGAAGTTATCGAATGTTGTGCCAATTTACAAGAAAGGTAATAGGGAGGAGTCGGGCAACTATAGGCCAGTAAGCCTTACTTCAGTAGTGGGGAAAGTGATGGAAACCATGTTAAAGGATAGGATTGATGAACATCTAAACACATTGATTTCAAGATCAGAGACAACATGGGTTTACTTCATGGAGATCATGCCAAACTAATCTTATTGATTTTTTTTGATTGGGTAACTAAAATTATAGATCAGGGTGGTGCAGTAGACATTGCTTACCTAAATTTCAGTAAGGCTTTTGACACTGTTGCACATAGAAGGCTTATCAATAAACTGCAATCTTTAAGTTTGGATTCCAATATTGTTGAATGGGTAAGGCAGTGGCTGAGTGACAGGAACAGAGGGTTGTAGTCAATGGAGTATATTCGAAGCTTGGGCTTGTCACCAGTGGGGTACCTCAAGGATCTGTACTTGGACCCATTCTCTTTAATATTTTTATTAGTGATATTGCAGAAGGACTTGATGGTAAGGTATGTCTTTTTGCTGATGATACTAAGATATGTAACAGAGTTGATGTTCCAGGAGGGATAAACCAAATGACATGATTTAGGTAAACTAGAAAAATGGTCAGAATTGTGGCAACTGACATTTAATGTGGATAAGTGCAAGATAATGCATCTTGGACGTAAAAACCCAAGGGCAGAGTACAGAATATTTGATAGAGTTCTAACCTCAACATATGAGGAAAGGGATTTAGGGGTGATTATTTCTGATGACTTAAGGTAGGCAGACAATGTAATAGAGCAGCAGGAAATGCTAGCAGAATGCTTGGTTGTATAGGGAGCGGTATTAGCAGTAGAAAGAGGGAAGTGCTCATACCATTGTACAGAACACTGGTGAGACCTCACTTGGAGTATTGTACACAGTACTGGAGACCGTATCTTCAGAAGGATATTGATACCTTAGAGAGGGTTCAGAGAAGGGCTACTAAACTGGTTCATGGATTGCGGGATAAAACTTACCAGGAAAGGTTAAAGAATATTAACATGTATAGCTTGGAGGAAAGACGAGACAGGGGGGATATGATAGAAACATTTAAATATATAAAGGGAATCAACACAGTAAAGGAGGAGACTATATTTAAAAGAAGAAAAACTACCACAACCAGAGGACATAGTCTTAAATTAGAGGGACAAAGGTTTAAAAATATCAGGAAGTATTACTTTACTGAGAGGGTAGTGGATGCATGGAATAGCCTTCCAGCTGAAGTGGTAGAGGTTAACACAGTAAAGGAGTTTAAGCATGCGTGGGATAGGCATAAGGCTATCCTAACTATAAGATAAGGCTAGGGACTAATGAAAGTATTTAGAAAATTGGGCAGACTAGATAGGCCGAATGGTTCTATTAAGGAAGTCAGCAGTCATCCATTTGGAAATCATGGAGAGGCAGTCAGACAAGTCAAGATGGGGGGGAGTGAGATTAGGAGAGGATCGGTACATTTGCATGTCATCTGCATTTAAAGGATAATGAAAGCCAAAGGAGCTGATGAGTTTACCAAGGGAGGCAGTATAGATAGAGAACAGTAGGGAACCAAGGACTGAACCTTGGGGGGGAGAAGCAGAGCCGGGAAAGAAACCCTGAAAGAGCGCTGGTAGAGGTAGGAGGAGCACCAGGAGAGAGCAGTATCTCGTAGACCAAGATTATGGAGAATGAGAAGAAGCTGTTGATGATCAAGTAGAATTAGGATAGAGTAATGGCCGTGAGATTTAGCAGTGATTAAATCATTGGATACTTTGGTCACAGCTGTTTCAACAGAGTAAAAAGCTCATTCTTAAATGTACAGTCAACATGCCCCCTGGCTCTGTCCAGCTTCCTTTTTATGATGGCTGAGAGTAGAAGTATTTTAAGGAGTCGTGACTTAAAAGATTGCTGGAGACTCCATGCTGGCTGTGGTGGCTATGGTGGTAAGACTGCCTTTTTAATTCCCATTGCTGGACTATTTGAGTGCCAAGACCAGAGGCGGCGCTCTATTTAGGCGGCCGAGTACAGAGCTGCAGATCACGTAATGTGGTTCTCACAGAGCGTTACTACGGCAACGCTCTGACAGGAGCTCGTCAGAACGAGGTCTGCAGCTCTCGTGGTGGGAGCTGCAGATAGGACCACCATAAACTGCAACCACTGGACCACCAGGGACTTACTTTTTTTTTTTTGTCAGCCTCCACACTCTGCCCCCTCCACCGACTCCCACACTGTCGCAAACATTGCCCACCTACACTGTGTTCTACACACCCTGCCTCTCCCCCACACTGTCACACACCCGCCTCACTGTCACCCACCCACACCCTGCCCCCAAACTGGCACCTTCCTCAACACTGCTCCCTCAGTGTTACCCTTTCACACACTGCCCCATATTGTCAGTCCCAAACACTGTCACCAATACATACACTGTCACCCTTTGCAACACTGCCTCCCACACTCTTACTTTCCCACTGTCACAATTCCACACAGTCACCCTCCAACACAGTCATGCCCCTTCATCCAGCCTCACTCACATAAAATTCTCCTAATCCATACCACAATTACCTGCCCTCACCCTATCACATGAATCCACTAATTAATCCCATATCCCCTAATACGATCACTCATCTTCTCTTACTGTCACACTCATCCTTTCACATTAACCCCTTCAGTCCTGCCACTCACCCTGTCACATAACCCCCCCTCATCCTGTCACTCTCACCTCCCCCTGCCCTGTAACACTCCCTCCTCCAACCATGCCACACTCACTTCACCCATGAACCCAGACTAGCTCTCTGTATCCAGCGCTGCAAGCCTGCCCGTCAATGTAACTACAGCGCATTATACACCCGATGCAACCCCTATGGGTTTTTTTTTTGTTTGTTTGTTTTTTGGGGGGTTAGTGTTAGTGGGGGGCCTCTTGAGTTTCGCCTAGGGCCCCATAAAGTCGAGAGCCGCCACTGGCCAAGGCAGTCTGGTACACACTGCAGGCCAAACTTGTTTTACCCTTTTTGCAATGTTCAATCATACTGTGTTCTCATTAATTACACGTGCATATTCTAGGTTGCTTCTTTAACCCTTCCATGACTGAATGTACCCTGTACAGCCTGATCACTTGTACACTGACAACATTATGCCAAAATTGCAATTTATAAACTGGCGTAGACTTAAAGTAGTAAAGGGTTTAAACTGGAATGCAAGAGCTCGCTTTAAAAAAAAAAAAAAAAATTGCATTCCCAACCCCCAAAAAGTCAATGGGGCGCACCGCAGTTGGCCTTTATTCTCTCAAATCAAAAGTTGGCCAATTGCAACTATCGCCTTTCACAAGACTTGCCCTGTAAGGTATATAGATTTGGCAAATTGGTCATCTCATGGCAAATAAACCATCTTCTCTGCACCTCACATCCACCAACTTGCCTTCTGCATTAGCAACCGAGAACCACGCGTAAGGTCAGCTGATGTGGTGGTCTTCTGCTTTGCATGCTCTCTGAGCCAGCGAACTGATCCAATCACAGGCTTCTCTGAGGCCCCGTGCTGTCATTTCGATGTTGGAAAATGTTTGTCTTGCTCGGCACACCACTAGCCGGAGTAAGCTTGTACTTTCTCTTTAGATGACCTTTAATAAACAGACACTGAATGAATAGCTTTGTAACTTTTGCAATAGAAAGAGCTGCATAGTTATACAATGTCCGTTTAATAAACGGACCCTATTGGCAGCCAGATTGATTCGTCTCATTGCAGTAGTCTGGGTGTTGTACCCCTCTTCCCTTAACCCTGCAATGTTAATCATGGCCTTTAGTGTTACTAATGTTCGTTGGCTTTTTAAAGTGGCCATGGTGGCAGAAATCTATATGTGCAGCTTGTTGCAATCCCAGCACATGTGACTTTGGCAACACTGGTCCTGACTCCTTATGTCAGTTCTATGCAAAAAACATCTGTCAGTGTGGTCTGTCCGCTGGCGACAGGCCTTCTCTGAGCCTTGTTTCTCCCTCACTTCATATACCCTCCATAATCTCCTCTCAATTTAGTGACTAAACCAGTTGAGATTTTTTTTTTTCGATCTATTGTGCTTTGGTCATGATCTGTCTGCACTTTCTGTATAAAATGACTTTGAGTCCTACTGTGGGAAGAGACTAACTCATTTATTTTGTATGTTTTCAGTGATGGCTTCTGCAGATATAAGAGATGAGCTGACCTGCTCCATCTGCCTGTGCATTTATACAGATCCCGTAACGCTGCCTTGTGGACACAGCTACTGCCGAGTCTGTATTGAGACAGTGCTGGACACACATAAAGACCACAAACTGATGTGCCCTGAATGTAGACAAACTTTCAATAGACAACCTGAGCTTAAACGAAATCTGAGACTGTGTAATATAGTCCAGCATTTTTCTGACGAACCTGTAAATAAAAAGGTTGGGATTGCTTGTAACTATTGTGTTCACTTGCCTAGATCTGCTGTTAAAACGTGTCTTCTGTGTGAAACCTCCATGTGTGAGACCCACCTGAAGGTCCATTGCCAATCGGCAGAACACGTCCTCCATGAGCCCACCACTTCATATGAGAACAGAAAATGTGCTATTCATGCAAAGGTTCTGGAGTACTACTGCTCCGAGGACGCTGCTTGTTTATGCGTGTACTGCACCATGGCAGAAGAACATAAGGGACACACAGTGGAGACTCTGGATGAGGCCTCGGAGAAGAAGAGAGAAATTCTAAGACATGTTCTAGTGACAATGTCATCAAAAAGATGTGATCATACAAAAGGAATCCAGAGTCTGCAGGAGCGCAGATGTGAAGTGCAAGTAAAATCAGTCCGTGAAATGGAAAGAGTCAGTAAACTAGTTAGAAACATCAGGGAACAATTGGAAGCCATAGAGACACAAATTCTGGGTGAAATCTCTAGCAAAGAAGAGCAGGTCTTGGAACAAATCCGACAACTGGAAACAAAGAATGAGGAGCTGTCCAGTAGGATGGGTTATGTTAAAGAGCTGTTTTATACGTCGGACCCATTAACCATCTTACAACAATGGAAATCAGGCTGTTTAGATGTTCAGGACAAAAAGAGTGATGCTAGAATGATTAACACTGTAGGAGATCTGGATATGGGTCTGATCTTGGCAACTTTACAGAGAGGTCTTGCTCTTGCTGCGGAAGGTGTAAAGAGATGTTGGAGTGTCCCGGAGGTTTCGGACATATCACTGGATGTTAACTCAACTGGAAAAAACGTAATTGTATCAAATGACATGAAAACAGTGGTTGGGTCCCAAATAACAAGAACACATCTAGGAAACTCTGCAAGACTTCCAAATAATTGTGTGTTAAGCACCAGCTGCTTTTCCATGGGGAAACATTACTGGGAAATGGAGGTTAGCAACTCTGGAAACTGGATTGCCGGCGTATGCTATCCCAGCAAAGACTGCAAGGGATTGAAGTCAAATACTGGGAAGTCTTGGACTCTGGCAAAGTTTACTTCCAAGTATGTAGTGCGACATGACAGGAGGGCGATCTACTTAACGTCCCGTCCATCCTGTCAGAGACTAGCAATATACCTGGACTATGAAGCTGGGCGGCTGTCCTTCTGTGAGTTGTCTGACCCAGTCAGATGCTTACACACCTTCACTGCCACTTTCACTGAGCCGCTTCACCTTCTGTTGTATGTATATGGCAATGTCTGGGTGAGAATAATCGGCTAAAGGCAATCTGCATGTTGACTTTCTGCCGCCGAGTTCTGATTGGATAGATGGCCAGTGAAGGAGGGCTGTAACTAGCTGGCTTCTTTATATATTGTCTTTAAATCTTAAATTAAAAGTACACACACTTCCTGGAAGAATACTGCCTGGTTAAGACTCTGTGTGTATCTTATATAATATAGCTTAAAAAAAAAACCTGTACTCCACAACTTATTTTGGATACAACGTTTAAGATTTTTGTAATGTTAAATAAAAAAATATTAAGTACTTAATGCTTTTAGTGTTAATTAATAATCAGACTGTTTTGAAATCAGATACACACTACCTTGTGGTATGGGGGTACTTCTTACACCACTGTTCCATAACTGAATATATAGAAAGTAAATATTCTAACCTTGCTCTCCTATAAAGAAGCCGTAAAACAGTTCTATCTAAAACATATGGATGTTGCCATTCCCACCATGTATGAGATCTCCAATAATCTAAATGGTGCCTCCCAAAATCGCCCCAATGGGGTAATTAGTCATAGGAAACAAATATAACAAGTCATATGTAACCTCTTTTCACAATACTGGCAGAATATGAAAATCTACAATGTGTCGTGTCAATTGAACAGGCTTTTCCGAGTCTCGAATCACTTAGAAAAGTATCAGCCAATCCATTGTTCCATTTTAATTGACTCTTACTGTGGAGAATCAGCAAACCATATAATTAAATTGAAGATAGCAGTGGCTCAGTAATACCGGTATCACACAATGCAGTCTTTTAATTTAGCATTATGATAATACTGGACCAATTATAGTATTTCTATTCAGGGCTCAGTTTAAGACTTGCAGAATGTTAACATCAGATTCTCAAAGTTTAACCCGATCCAAATCATCAAGGGCATAGTGGGTCATATGGTGAATATGGCAGAGTGGTCCAATGCGGCTTTGGTTTAACATGGCTACAGATTAAACTTCAGATGCACCAGTGATTTTTATGCAGTTTAAGGTTACCTAAGAAATTAACTCTAATTTTAGCAGATTTCGTATCTCCTGCTCAGTTAGTAGCGTTCTAGACCTTTGCCGGAGGCTCGTGTGCGTGATTAGAGTTCAGTTAACAGAGCAGGAGATAAGAACGTCTAAAGTAAACACTCTGTACTAATTGAAAAACCATATTTTTCATGCAAGATGTGTCACAGGTAGATGAGCTGTGGGTAGGGCTGTTTAAGCAGAAACAAAAGCAATTTAACTCCTAAATGGCAGTGAATTGAGCAGTAAGATCTATACATTAGAACTGCTTCATTAAAGGAACACTATAGCGTTAGGAATACATTTGTATTCCTAACGCTATAGAGCCCTAGTCACCATTTAGGTGACTAGGGCCCCGTTCTGCAGTGAAGAAATGGTTAACCATTTCATTGCTTACATCACTCCAGGGCAGTGCTCCCTCGGTGCTGGTGACCTCTCCTCCATCTGTCTCCTGAGTGGAGCCAAATGTGCGGCCAGAGGCACGAACGCATTCAAAGCCGCCCATAAGAAAGCATTACTCACCCCTTTCCTATAGGGGTCTTCTTTTGACACTGGACTCCATGAGGATGTCCAGCGTCGAATAAGAGTGATTTTACTCAGTGTAAATCACGGAAACTGCCTCTAGTGGCTGTCAGGGAGACTTCCACTAGAGGCTAGCTTAACCCTCAATGTAAACATAGCAGTTTCTCTGAAACGAGGGGGACCAGGCACCCAGACCACTTCATTGAGCTAAGGTGGGCTGGGTGCTACAGTGGTCCTTTAAGCTAAAGTGGTTTTTATGACTATCGTTTCCCTTCAACTAAGTGAAATGACTGCAGTTTCATACTATCCCCCTTACACCCTTTGTGTTGCCCTCCTTAACTCACCTTAGAAAATAATTTGTGTGCATAATATCTCTACATGCAATGCAGATTATTCACCCACAAAGACCTGCATACATTTCAGGCTACTTTCCCCTTGGTCTCAGGAGACATTTGGACCACGCACATATCGATGGTGTAAAGTCACATTTTATTAGAAAACCATGTTTTGGCTCCCACAGGAGCCTTTATCAAGCTAACACAAACGTCACATGACCAAATTACCATAACTTGAAAATATGAAATATAGTTATATTAGGTCCTTAATAGGTAAATTCTTAAACTTATAAGTGAAACCATAATGCTGAATTCTAGTCACACGTGGGTCTATATATTTTCAAGTTTGGGTAATTTGGTCATGTGATCCTGATATAGACGATTTCATATTCTATTTTGGGGGGGGGACGGACCAAATAACCCTATAGTGCCAGGAAGGCTGGTTTGTTTTCCTGACACTATATAGTACTAATTTAATGTAAGTTAAAATGTTCCTCTAAGCCTTGATGCAAGATACAGCATTTGGACCCCTTTGGGGAAAAAGGTTAAAGGAAGAATGACATATTTTTTGCGGGGGCGGAGCTAGACAGCCTCAATTTGCTGCCTTTCACTGCAGCACACTGAGGGGAAGCAGGAAGGAGTCCCCCAACTCCAACACACCAGGGACTCACTGACTCCACTCCTCCACCAGAGAGAGAGAGAGAGTGTGTGTGTGTTTGAGAGACAGCTTGTGACTGTCTGCCTGTGACTGTGTATACAAATTCACACACACACACTGCCAGAAAAAGTATGTGAACCCTTTGGAATGATATGGATTTCTGCACAAATTGGTCATAAAATGTGATCTGATCATCATCTAAGTCACAACAATAGACAATCACAGTCTGCTTAAACTAATAACACACAAAGAATGAAATGTTGCCATGTTTTTATTGAACACACCGTGTAAACATTCACAGTGCAGGTGGAAAAAGTATGTGAACCCTTTGATTTAATAACTGGTTGAACCTCCTTTGGCAGCAATAACTTCAACCAAATGTTTCCTGTAGTTGCAGATCAGACGTGCACAACGGTCAGGAGTAATTCTTGACCATTCCTCTTTACAGAACTGTTTCAGTTCAGCAATATTCTTGGGATGTCTGGTGTGAATCGCTTTCTTGAGGTCATGCCACAGCATCTCAATCGGGTTGAGGTCAGGACTCTGACTGGGCCACTTCAGAAGGCGTATTTTCTTCTGTTTAAGCCATTCTGTTGTTGATTTACTTCTATGCTTTGGGTCATTGTCCTGTTGCAACACCCATCTTCTGTTGAGCTTCAGCTGGTAGACAGATGGCCTTAAAGGACCACTCTAGGCACCCAGACCACTTCAGCTTAATGAAGTGGTCTGGGTGCCAGGTCCAGAGAAACTGCTATGTTTATGAATGGGTTAAGCCTTCCCACAAAGCCTCTAGCGGCTGTCTCACTGACAGCCGCTAGAGGCGCTTGCGTGCTTCTCACTGTGAAAATCACAGTGAGAGCACACAAGTGTCCATAGGAAAGCATTCATAATGCTTTCCTATGCGACCGGCTGAATGCGTGCGCAGCCAGCCGACGGGGAGGAACAGAGGAGGATCGGGGGCAGAGAGCTCCCCGCCCAGCGCTGGAAAAAGGTAAGTTTTACCCCTTTTCCCCTTTCCAGAGCCCCGCAGGAGGGGGACCCTGAGGGTGGGGGCACCCTCAGGGCACTATAGTGCCAGGAAAACAAGTATGTTTTCCTGGCACTATAGTGATCCTTTAAGTTCTCCTGCAAAATGTCTTGATAAACTTGGGAATTAATTTTTCCTTCAATAATAGCAATCTGTCCAGGCCCTGACGCAGCAAAGCAGCCCCAAACCATGATGCTCCCACCACCATACTTCACAGTTGGGATGAGGTTTTGATGTTGGTGTGCTGTGCCTTTTTTTCGCCACACATAGTGTTGTGTGTTTCTTCCAAACAACTCAACTTTGGTTTCATCTGCCCACATTGATTATTGCTCCAGGACTCTGTGATTTCTAGTTATGTCTCCCGCTGCAGGCCCACGGTCTCAGTCAATGAGCGTGGCAATGCTTAGCTCAGTCTGGCTAGCCGCATTCTCGCGGCAGGAAGATTCGTATACTGGGCGGTGGCCACGGTACCCAAGGGGACTTGAGTAGGCTGTCAAACGGTGCTTAACATTTTTTACAAATTAATCTGGGAGGGCAGCGACATACTCCTGGCACCATAACCACTACAGCACAGCATGGGACTTTAAATGTGTTCCTTTAATTGTTTTATTCCTTTATTTCCACCCATGTTAAAGCGCTGTGGAATTTGATTTAAATATCATAATAATAATAATAATAATGTCAGGAGTGGCAGCAATGTAATATATAAACGCGTGTAACTTTAAATAAAGTACTGTGTTTAGTAATTAGAGTGCTTCTTACAATCAGTCTGTGTTTATATATATAATATTTATTATTTTATTGTTACTATTGATATAATTACTGGCAGGATTCATATTATTATTATTAATAGTAAGATTGGTGGGATAAAGTGATAATGAGTTCATTATACACTGTATAGATTACATTCAGGATCTGCTTAGTGACATTCAGCGCGGTGCATCACGGGACATGGAGTTCACAGATGTGAAGGGACGCGTGAGGCACGCTGATTGGAACGAAGAGAGAACTACAACTACCCAAATGCAGTTCGGCCGAGACGCGCGTCAGACATGGTGAATCGACAGCTGGAACGCACAATGAGAAAGTTCAATGGAACGCACGCATTTCCGGTCAGCAACTTCCTGGTCTGGCCAGTTCTTATAAAGAGAGGACTGAGAGCATTGAGGTCAGTGATTCCCTATAGAGCCCAGTCTGAGGCACTGTATATCAGACCAGCTGGATAATATTATTATTATTATTATTATTATTATTATATGCTGTGTATAGGGCACTGTATAACAGACCAGCTGGATAATATATTATTATTATTATTATTATTATTATTATAATATGCTGTGTATAGGGCACTGTATATCAGACCAGCTGGATAATATATTATTATTATTATTATTATTATTATTATATGCTGTGTATAGGGCACTGTATAACAGACCAGCTGGATATAT